CCCCCACACCCTGCTGTAGCCCCCACACCCTGTTGTAACCCCCACACCCTGCTGTAGCCCCCTACACACTGCTGTAACCCCTACACCCTGTTGTAACCCCTACACCCTGCTGTAACCCCTACACCCTGCTGTAACCCCTACACCTTGCTGTAACCCCCACACCCTACTGTAGCCCCCACACCTTGCTGTAACCCTCACACCCTGCTGTAACCCCTACACCTTGTTGTAACCCCACACCCTGCTGTAGCTCCCAACACTCTGCTGTAACCCCTACACCCTGCTGTAACCCCTACACCTTGCTGTAACCCCCACACCCTGCTGTAACCCCTACACCTTGCTGTAACCCCTGCACCCTACTTGAGCCCCCACAACTTGCTGTAACCCCCACACCCTGCTGTAACCCCTACACCTTGCTGTAACCCCCACACCCTGCTGTAAAGGTGTATCTCCAGATCTGAACGAAGCCAAGGAAACTGAGGCTGGACATTCCTAGCGATGAATTATTTATGTCTTCCTTCTCAGTGAGTTTCAACTTTAATATATTTAGTTCCTACTTGTGTATATTACTTTATTGTTCCAACTTTATGGTTTTAAAGTTTGCACAACAAAATAACTCCTATTGTTATTTTTAAAACAAACAAAATTTCGGTAACGTGGAAAGCTGACAAACATAAGACTTAGATTGAAAGTACTCAAGCCTTTTTCAAGTCTATCTAGACAGCTTATGTGAGGCCAGTAAGCGGCACCGGCGTGGAAGCCACTCATCGTGACGCAGAGAACTAGAGATAGTTTGATAGTTAAGGACTATGATCTGGCACTCTGATGACCCTTGAACTTTGACCGAGAAATCGATCCGAGCTGACCCAATTAACATTTTTAAATATACACACACACATATATACAAAGCACACATACACATTCATACACACATATACAACACACACAACCAGCTGACGATCTGATAATAAGTCAATTAAGCTACAGAAATGTTTTTATACGCCAACTTGGGGAAGCTGACGTGGGCCTAATTAATATTTGATTTCTTTTTGTATGTAAGCTGGACGCGTCCCGCACACACACGCACGCGCACACACACACACACACACACACACACACACACACACACACACACACACACACACACACACACACACACACACACACACACACACACGATATTGTGAATATTCAGCACTGCGAGACATTATTCAACAAATCAGAAGACTCACGTTGCTTGGTGATTTCTATTGACAATTTTTTCCCCTGTTTGCTGCCTTTTGACAATTCTTTCCCTGCTTGCTGCCTTCTTTTGACAATTCTTTCCCTGCTTGCTGCCTTCTTTTGACAATTCTTTCCCTGCTTGCTGCCTTCTTTTGACAATTCTTTCCCTGCTTGCTGCCTTCTTTTGACAATTCTTTCCCTGCTTGCTGCCTTCTTTTGACAATTCTTTCCCTGTTTGCTGCCTTTTGACAATTCTTTCCCTGCTTGCTGCCTTCTTTTGACAATTCTTTCCCTGCTTGCTGCCTTCTTTTGACAATTCTTTCCCTGCTTGCTGCCTTCTTTTAATAATTACTTCATTCCTGGCCAGGCATCATTTTTTTATAATTATTTTACTTGAACGTCGCCCCTTAGTAATTCATTTGGCCTGTTATTTACATATTTTAAAATGTCAGTATTGCCAAAACATATAAATATCATTTTAATACTCAAATTCAACTGTACCAAAATGCATAATTTTAAAAAGTTTTGAATTAAAAACTGAAATAAATATAAGTTAGGTGATAATTAAAATGCAAATAATTTTAACACTGTACACGAAAAATGTGAAAGTATAAATATATGATATTTTTGTATTAATATGATTAAGCGGAATACAATTTGAGAAGTAATTATGAGGAAGTAAAAGTGCTAAGCCCGTATGACTGCATAACACATGGAAAGTTGTTGTTGTTTAAGGTTCGCTATCTGAAACAAAAAGTTTCAAATAGCACGGACTATGGTGAGCCCGTAGAACACATGGAAGGAATATAAAAAGAACAGTTTCCAACCCCTTTAACTATCGGTGATCAAACTCCAATTCGCAGTTCAGGGGTCCAAGTGACTGGAGTTTGACAAGTTTCTCCCAGTGAGTCGGGTTAAGTCATGCTCTGAATGGATATCGTGGATATCGTCACGATATCCTCGATATCTTATACACGGGTGACGGGATACATATCCCGTATACACGGGATATACACGGGTGACGATATCCTCGTGGATATCGTCACCCCTTTGGCTAAGATAACAGGCTTCATCAATCAGATGATAACCTCAAGGTTATGGGGATGATTACATGATATCATATTATCAGATGATAACCAACATGAGCACAATGCACCAGAATCATCAAATGAAGGTACCAACTTGAAACACTTAATCCCAGGCGCGAGTTGAATTAGCAATAGGTGATCCACCTGTTCCTAATCTATGCAAATGAATCAAATGAATAAAGCAATTGAGACAACGTGAAAGCAGCCACTGAGACAGTGCCCTAATAGATTGAGGAGAGCGTGAGCTGTACCTTATGGTGCTAAGCAAATCTATCTCCCTACTATGGAAGTACCCCGGATTGTAAAACATCTTTAGATATCAAAAAAATATTTTCCCTCACAATAAACAAATGCCTGGCTATTCGTACTAGAATACTCAATTAAAGTTAGCAGTAGCAATAGACGTCTAACTACTCAGATGTTATTATTTAAATACCACTTAAATAACAGTGTACAATAGGGTTCAATATACCTACTGAACACAATAGAAGGGGTGACTTAATAAAAGAGAGAGGAGCTAGCTATCGCAACACAATATATACATAGGTCATAGATACTATATTATGTAGGTCACATAGGTCATCCCTCTATATCTATCATCTATGTATCATACAGGAGGAGTGATTGCTTAGAAAATCGAGGTGGTATCTCTCAATCTAAATGGAGGCGAAGGTAGCTTCTACAGCAGCCGTAGCTTCGCAGTATATATATATATATATATATATATATATATATATATATATATATATATATATATATATATATATATATATATATATATATATATGAAACAGGAATTTCCTTAAGTACTTTCGTATATTAATACATCTTCAGAATGAGTCATATATATATATATATATATATATATATATATATATATATATATATATATATATATATATATATATATATATACATATATATATATGAGTGAGAGAGACCTCTCCCGCAATAAATAAACGTTATTCATTGCAGAGAGATCTTAGAAATATCGATTTGGCAAAGAATCTGTAACAATATGCTTGGTCATTCAATGTGAAGCTTTTAATTCAAGCAGCTATGAATTCCTTGATATAAAAAAAAATAATAATTTTCTTTAGAGACGTCTCACTTGTGGGCTGAATGAAGAAAGAAATGACGTGAGAACGAAAGCTCATCCCAGCCAAGCAATGTTAGGTAGATAGGAGAGTGCCGTGTAGGTCTAAATTGATTTGTAGAAAAATTGTACCAATGATATGTACCGTACTGTTTCATTTGAAGAATGGTGAACAAAATAACATTGTACTGTACATGATTTAATTAATAAGCAAAAAAGCAGCACACTAAGGGTATTTTAAGGTATTTAATGCCAATCAGGTGCTATCAGATAATAGACTGGAAATAGAGAGGACAGCTTTTATTGTGGGTAGGGCTGGGAACCTCTATAAGTTAAACTTCGGAGTGTCAAGCAATGCAACTGCAAAAGAGTATAATATAGTTACTCCTTTCTATTGCAACGCTTTCTCTAGTACTTGTCATAAAAGATTTTGGGGGGACTAATCTAAAGTTTGTTTATAAACAATCACCTAACTTACCTAACCACTAACATATAAGAAATTTCCCAAATTTGCTTACTGTAGGTGCAGCCTGCACATGACAGTAAAGCTGCCGCCCAGTTGGGTGGGTGTGGAGCAAGACTAGTAACTGTGTGACTCACCATAAATGTAAAGTGCCTTGTATAGTGACTGTTGTGAGCCTCTTGTGGAATCACTTGTGATATAAAAAGATTACCGAGATGAATATGTATTTGTGCAAATGCTTGTATATATATATATGTGTATGTAACATTAAAAAAATGTGTAACTAGTTTCAAAAGATTGTAACTTGCTTAGCTAGATGAACTATGGGTTCAGTTCCTAAACCGACTTTGTGCCTGTGTAACCCTTTCCACCACCGTCCACAAGATGGGTATGAAGCACATAATAAACAAAAAGAAATTGAATATAACAAATAAAATAAATAAATGATGGCCAAACACATCAGAAGATAAGGAAACGACGACGTTTCGGTCCGTCTTGGACCATTGTGAAGACTCGATAACGGTAAAGGATGGACCGAAACGTCTTCTCTTCATCTTCTGGAATGTCATTTGGTCCTCACTACGTTCACAACAGTTTGTTTTTTATTTATATATATATACAAGAGTTCTTAAATTCTTATACAGCCACTAACACTCATAGCATTTGAGCAGGACCTTAATCCTAATTTTCCCCGGAATACGACCCGCCAAATCGTTTAAAAACCAGGTACCCATTTATTGCTGGGTGAACAGAGGCTACAGTTAAGACTTGGAGCCAAGTAAGTCCTCCCCGGCCAGGATACCAACCCAGGCCAAAGCGCTTGCGAAGCGTCGAGCTAGTGTTTTACCACTACGCCACAGAGACTGCTATGCAAAGTACAGCTCTTGTACACTGCATATCATTAAGCTCTCTATAACCCATTAAAATTTTACAACTACAAAAACGGGAATAAGCTAAAAAAAAATCCCAATGTGGTGTCATGTGAAAATAATCTATGTTTATTATTATATAAGAGCTCAAAAAAATTATATATATATATATATATATATATATATATATATATATATATATATATATATATATATATATATATATATATATATATATATAAAACATCAGTGTTGTTAAACATTTCAGCAAACACCTGCTTTAGCCAAAACATACTAATAACAGGTAATGTTTATTTTTAAATATATCAATAAACACTTAACCTAGTGTTTAGTCTTAACACTTAAACACATCACGGTAATAAATATACATAAAAATATAACTGATACAGTTAACTATACACGATTTGATTCAGAGTCTTGGCCTCCTGAGACGACCCTCGTCTCTCCTCTTAAAAAATTTCCTTAAAATATTTTGTAAATCAAGATAAAACATGAAATAAAGAGAATACATAGAATTAAGAGAATACATAAAACCAAGAGAATACATAATATTAAGAGAAAACATCAGAATTAAGAGCCATGCTTGCGTGGCTGTATTTACATATTTACATCAAAGGCTGCATGTCCTTGCTGTGTTTTTGTTAATCATATTTACACTGAAACGTTTGTACTGAACACTTTGGGCAAGGTCGATGGCTATACTTAACTGAGGACTGGACCCTATTCCACCGTTCAAGACCCCACTACACATTGTGTACCGGATCCTTGACAATGTTCAGACAACAATACACTGTGTATTGTACTGGACCTTTGGTCACACTTTAAGGCTCCACGACACCTTGTGTACTGGGCTCTCGTGGCCATCTTAGTCTGAGTATGTTATTGACCATCTGGAGATGCTTTAGTAGGCATCCATTGGTCTCAGGAGACTATGGAGTTGCGGTCTGGTATCGGCCTGGTCTGGAGTGGCCTCACTAGGGCGCAAAGCCAGGGTAGGTTGATTCGGGGGAGAAGCTGTTACCCTTTACTGGGTTTGGAAGCTGTGTATGACCTACACTCCGACGTTGGGTATATACCCAGGTGTCCTCTCCTCTCCTGAGAGCTTGAGTAACGTGACCGGTCCCTATCAAGTGGGTGCAAAGAGCAATATTGTTGAGTAGGTGAATAGCCAACGGGTGATTGTTGGTAGCTTCGATGAGGATCTTCCCACTGACCATATATATACAGACGTTTCTGTCCTGGATTTTGTGCAACTTGAGACGAATCTGGTACATAAGCGTGATTACTATAGACGTTCAGGGTTGGGTGTTCTGATTGGATTCCACTGCCAGAATTATTATATGAGTTAGCACGCCATGTTCTATCTTCCTTACTCAGGCTTGATTCACTGGACTCATCGCTTGAAGTGCCCAAACCTAAGTCTTTTTCTTGACAATTAGTGTGAGCCGAACGACCCAATACCACAGGCTCAACTTGTGATGCATTGTTTGCTGCAGTTACACTCTGAGGCCTCGGAATCTTCAGATTCATAGGCTCAATGGGCCTCGAGAGAGGACAATCTTGACCGTAAAGAGACAAAGGATGACAGTTTGCCTTAGACAGTGGGGAGCTCTCGTTCTCTTTCTTCTTACCGCAAGAACCAGGACCCAGGAGAGAAAGTAGAACTGGTAAGAGCACAAGACCATGCAAGACACTGAAGAACATTGCGAGGAAGACAGTCTTGAAGAAAGCTACAAATATATACGAGGGAGATAGACTTAGTGCTGTGACACCTAAAATAGTCGATAGACAGCCTTGCATGATTGGCAAACCAAGATTATAGAGGCAATCCCTTACACGTTCATCTGGAGTTTCAGCTTTAGACACCAGGTATGAATATGAGATATAAGCTGAGAAATCGACACTGAAACCTATACACATGATTAGGTTGATCATGGAAATGGAATCTAAACTTACGCCCCAAAAGGCCATGTAACCCACAACACCGATTTCCACCGAGGTGATAGAGAAGACGACCCAGAGACAACAGAGAGCGTTTGGTATAAACACGAGAGACACAGCCATCATTATGACTGCTGTTAAACAGATGGTTTCTATGCTCGTTGACCTCACCATAGTGAACTGAAAAGAAATGGAAAAACAAGAATCAATTATGCTGAAAAAATTCATATTACTCAAAATTCACTACAGCAAAACTAATTATTACTGGTATAATTCGATCACAGTGGTCGCAATATCCGAAGTTAAATGCAACTTTATCAAGGTTGAATCAACGTAGAATCAAAGTTGAATCAACATTATCAACATTTTGTGTTTACTGGGAAGTACATAGGCAAAATCCACCAACCTGATCAAAGTAGATGAAATAGGGATTGTAGACTGTGACGTTAAACTTGGACTCTGAGGCCACTTTGCGGAAGGTTTCCATCATATCCTTATCTGCGTTTCCGTCCAGCACCTTGTATGCCTGGACGATGAACCTGGACGCTTCAATACGCGTTTGGTTCTCGTTGAACTTGACGTCCTCAGCGAATAGATTGGCCGGACCTGACAGGTACAGCTGAGGAAGAGTGAACAGAGAATTACTTGAAGGAACTTTTACTTTTTTATGAAAGTAAAAACTAATTTAAAAAAAAAGAGCATTGCATTAGTTAAACACATACAAGTTTAGAGGGATTTACTGTTCGGGGAGTCGAACCCAGACCTGTGGTGACATTTCAAAGGTCTACCAAAGTCACCGAAGTGCCACAATAGGAAGGAGGTTAATGGTTGCTGAACTACCATCCGAACTACTACCGACCGTCCAAGTGGTTGGGCACTATTCCTCCCCCCACGTCCCATCCCAAATCCTTATCCTGATCCCTTCCACGTGCAATATAGTCGTAATGGCTTGGAGCTTTCCCTTGATAATTCCTCCCTATCCAATCTGTTGACCAGACCACACACTAGAAAGTGAAGAGACGACGACGTTTCGGTCCGTCCTGGTACATTTTCAAGTCGATTGTGAATGGTCCAGGATGGACCGAAACGTCGTCGTCCCTTCACTTTCTGATGTGTGGTTTGGTTAATATATTTCAGCCACGTTATTGTGACTCCTCGTCTGCACTATCCAGTCTGATTTTCCCATGGCACCAAGTAGTGGTAAAAAATCGCCTTGTTTAATGCAGATCCAGGTTCGACTCTCCGAGGGTTGAAGTCAGCGAAAGGCTTATAATAAATATAAATGTTTGAGCTAAATGCGTATATTTGAGTTGCTAGCCAGATAAACTACTCAATTGACCACAGACTCATTGTAAAGATATAGATAAGAATTGTCTCGAATGGGTCAATAAATCTGCCGTTTTTCTTTAGTGTCATGTTTTCATGCTCTCAAGAAGGCATTAGTGACCTTATAAGAATCCCAGCCCAGGTGCAACCCCTAAGACGTGAGAAGCCGTCAGTATCTTTAATTCACTTTACCTATCGTCACATTAACATATATTCAATTACAATTAAACAAAAATGTAAAATTATAACAATTTGTAACATTACAGATTGAACAATGCACACAATCTCAGATCCCAATATTACAGCTGATTTACACACAGAGATCACACTAACGTGATGCATCAAATGAACAAATGTCGATTAATGTAGCTCAGTCGATAAAGGCAGTGTCTGGGATGCTCCTGGACGCAGGTTCGAATCCTCGTCAGAACCCTTGTGGATTTGTTTACAGCTAATTTCATCAACTCCGGTGACTAAATACTCACCTCTCTGAGCTGAGAGCAGAATTCTTCTTCACTTGTGATGTTAATACTCATGAAGTCTTGGTTTCTCTCCAGGAAGCTGAGCCAAGCTCTGAGCCACGACTCTGTATAGAGCGCTCCAGGACTGTATGGCGTCGATTCGAACCTCTTGAGCAAGGCCATGAGCTCCTTCTGCGTCTCTCGATCACTGTACATCACGTCACCTGTTATTGACACCTGTCAAGGAATTGATTCGATTAGGATAATAATTAGTTTTGTCGGAGGGAGGAAGTCTGAGTATTTTGAGGGGAACCTGCTGCATGGGTAACAGCTTCTCATCCATATCGACCTACCCTGGCTTTGTGCCCTGAAGAAGGCCACTCATTCTTGCCAACCAGAACGCAGCGCCATAGTCACTCAAGACCATACTAATACTACTATATACCTTAGGCTTGTATCGAGGTCACTCCCGAGGTCAAATTATTGACCCTTCACAGGATGCAACACCCACAACAGTTGCCTAACTCCCGGGTCATTTACTGCTATGTGAACAGAGGCATTAGGTTAAAGGAAATGTACGAAAAAAAATTCTGTCCCGCCTGGAAATCGAACCCAGGGGTCTCCGATTGTAAGTCGAGAATAAACCCAAGCGTACTACGTGTCTCTATAATATGGTTGTTATAATTGATTACAATAGTTAGGATGGTGGTTTAGATGAGGGTTTAATTATAGGTTTTGTAGCTACTCTTTAAATGCACAGTGAACTCCCATGCGATGACATACGATGGGATCGAAACCTTGTCCATGGACTCCCTTATTGTCCAAATTCTCACTACTAACTACTAAGGCAACGACAACAATTTTATATATTTTTTTAATTTAGCCACAATAAAAGGCAACGATTATTATCAAAACTTGCCATGAATTTAGCTTTAAATTCTCGTTTAAATTTAAATTTAGCTTTAAAAACTTGCCTTATTTAGCTTTAAACAAAATCACAACTTCAAACATAAAAGCTTTACACTCACCTGTATTCTGTATGGATATTCTCTAAAATATTTGCTCTCTAAATTATAAAAGTCGACGGAATAGGAGTTATCAAGTGACAACCTGCTGCGTTCCAGTCCCTCCTGGAGTCTGGTACAGCCCCAGAAGGCCACTGCGAGGTACAGAACGAAGGCGATGATCACCAAGGCTGCCGAAGGGAAGAGAATTATCAAGAGATTGATTGATGATTGATTGATGAAGATTAAGCCACCCAAGAGGTGACACGGACATGAATAACCCGTAAAATTATCAAGAGGGGAAACGCCAAGCCTATATAGCCTACAAACAGGTTTGTAGATTTACAAACCTGATTGTTACTTTTAGTTTCAAATTGGAATCAATTAAATTATCAAACAAAATTGCATTTTTTTAAAGATTATTTATAGATACAATTCAGAGATAACAGCAAATACAGATACCCACATCCTGTTGCAACTTGAGCACTTTATGATATAATAAGATACGTATATATATAATTACTTAAGATAATCATGCTTAAGATCATGCAAGATGATGACACTTGCAGAAGAGAGCATAGGGCTCACTTTTGACGGCCGGGATGTTGAGGAAGCCGGCCACTTGATCTCTGAAGAACACCATGATGATGTGTTCTTTGTTATCCTTCTCATTCCAGGGATCTGCTTCACTTATCCCACCCGTGCATAGGAAACGGTAGCAGCAGCTGGCATCCGCTGAGAGTGAGAGAATGACAGGTGAGGAGGAGGGCGGCTGGTATTCATTGTAGGATAATGAGGGGTGAGGCAGGCATTTTTAAATATATGAGTAGATTAGTTAAAAGTTCATTTGTCAATTTATAATCACTAATGTTCCTTCTCATATACCAGCTCCTTGTCCTTATATCCCAGGATATTGTCCTCGTATTCCAGTCCCTTTTTCCTTATATCCCAGGCCCTTGTCCACATATCCCAGTCTCCTTTTTCCTTATATCCCAGGTCCTTCTCCTCTTATCCCAGGTCCTTGTCCACGTATCCCGTCCAAGTGTTATATATAATCATACTGAATTTGTGCTATTTCCTAATTACCTTACATTCGTAAACATATATCATAAGATATTATTGAAAGTAAATGTGAGCAAAAGACAACAAATGGATTACTGACACATGAGATATAATCTTCATTTTGTAGTCCACGGAACATTCTTTCACCCAGTGAGCATAAGGACGGCCCCCAAAAGTGAGGTCGTGATACAGATTTTCAGAAAGATCCTGATTAAGATTGAACAAGACACTAAAAAGAGTTCGAGGAGCCCAAAAAATACTTCTGGAGATGCCATAGGAAGAAAAAGACATTAGAAAGTGATCGAGGAGCCCGAAAAATACTTCTGGAGATGCCACAGGGAGAGAAAGTGATCGAGAAGTTATTGTTGACGCTACTAACCTGTTTCTGACTTGGATTTGATCTTGCGGCAAGTGACTCCGTGGCGCTGGTCCTTCTCCATGTAGCCAGAGAGAGCCAGGCAGCCTCCGAAGAACGAGATGAGCCATATGTATGCCACCACCACCGCCGTCCCTGAAATATTATTATAATATTATCCTTTACTTTAGACAAATATGTTCCCAATTGCATATATAAAGTACTGTCAACCATTTGTTAATACGTTCTTGAAGGAGGACTCATTCTGTGCCCAAGAAATAATCTTATCCTTCATTGGAAATATATGTTTCGTGTTAAAACTGACCCATGTAGATGGAGAAGATCTGGACAGATGGAAACGGGGTAACTGCGCCGATGAAGAAGGAGACCATCTCCGTCACTGTGGTGATGGTGATTCCTACCGCAGCATCACTAAACGCCTGGCCCATCCTCTCCGGTACACTGTCTTGAAGACGAGTGCGGCGCCACGCAGCCAGCATCACAAACACGTCGTCCATACCGATACCTGAGACGGAACATGATGTACCAAGTGACATGTCAGAACAGTGGTGTTTAAGGCAATCCTAGCATTACAACATTATGACACTTCACTTCTCGCTTCTTGCAGGTCGGCGTTCAATCCCCGACCATCCCAAGTGGTTGGGCACCATTCCATTCCCCCTCCGTCCAATCCCATATCCTTATCCTGACCCCCTTCCCAGTGCTATATAGTTGTATTGGCTTGACGCTTTCCCCTGATAATCCCTCCCCTCTATATCCCATGCAGCTTTACTCCATAGAAACCTGTTGATATGTATTTTTCAAATCACAAAACACGTATTGCACGAAAACAAAATTACATTTATATAATATTAAAGTTAATAATGCGCAAGATATGCTGATACAACTCCTGGTACTCACCTAATAAAAGGAAGGGGCCGACCAGGTTGATACCAATGAACTCGAACCCCAAGTAGATTACAAAGCCGAAGGCGGCGCAGCAGGAGAGAAGAACGGAGAAGATTCCCAGGAGCCCCAGGTAGGGCTTGGTGCGTACCCAGTCACCGGACACGGCCGAGGTCACGCTAAACAGTACCATGATTATCATCGTCCCGCCGAAGAAAGGCGTCACTGAATTCGTGTTTCTGTCGAGTTCCAACTCCAGCGTGCGGGATACGAACCTGGCGACGGTGATGCTGCCGAAGTCCCGGTCACCCACTGCTTTCAGGATGGCGTCTTCCCACAGCGCGCCGCTGGTGGGGGAGGGGGGGCACTTGTAAACAATGAGTCACAATAAAGTGGCTGAAGATATGATGACCAAAGCAGAAAATAAAGAAACGACGACGTTTCAGTCCTGGTCCGACCGAAATGGTCGAGGGCGGACCGAAACGTCGTCGTTTCTACACTTTTCTGATGTGTGGTTTGGTCATCAAACACTTGTAAGTTTAACAAAGCTTGTATGATGAACTTTAATCGTTCTAAACCGACGATTATTCTAGAAGAAATGCATCAGGCAAACTATATATTATGCTGACATATTTACTCCTACTATCGTCATCAACAATTTGCGCTTGGATATATTTCTTCCTTTTTAACACCATTGTTATATCTAACTTCCTTAGAGTGTATTTACAGCAAGACTCTCCTACACTAGCGAGCGTTCTTATACAATACTCTACAAACATTTCAGTAGGAATACTGTTGTATTCCTGCTGAAATAATGATGTAATGGATTAGCATAATACTGATAAAAAACATTTTATCACTACAGATTAAAAATAATCCATGACACTAGTTTCATTTGAACCTTAAATTTGTTTATAACTAATTCCAAGCACAATGCATCATAGAAAACTACAAATGGATCTAACCTTCTGTTCAATAGGATTTGATCCTCTAAAGCAGAGAGAAGAAGGTACAAGAGCAAATAATTGAAACCTACTTTGCTTTCTCCTTGGTTGTGCTCGACTTGAGCCAGTAGAAGATGTCAAGAGCCTTGACGCTCTCCACAACAGTATCGTTGCCCACGACCACTCCACCGAAAAATAACGGGAGTACGTATGTGTCGAAGTTGTTGGGGTTGAGCATTATGGGATAAGTCAGGTTAAAAGTGCCATTTTCAACCGCTGGCATCAGATCCTGTAGACCTATGATGTTGTTCTCATAACATTTGCTGTCCGAGATGGCACAAAGGTCGTCGTATCTTGCCACCTCGTCGTCAGTGTCGACACTGACGGAGTGGACCAGACGATCTAGCGCCACTATGTCGTTCCAAACCTTCGACCGCAGGATCGTCCCTTCATCTTTAGCCGTAATGATAAACCTGGCATACCGTCCCATCCGGGTTATCCGCGACGGGTTGAAATCTGATGAGAAGTTGAGGGTGAAATACTCTTCTATAACAGATCTCTCGTGTTTAGCGTGACCCGACGTGGGAGTGAACAGGAATTCGGGATCGTCATTGTACTTGAGTCTCTGGAATCCGGTGGCAAGGATACCAGTTATAAAGATGGGCACGATGATTAAGTAGCCGTAGTTTAGGGCGACTGAGTGTCCTAACCGGTAGAACAACTGCCTGAGCAGGTATTCGAACTTCTTTAAGGAGTAACTCATTATCACACAAGTTCTAGGATGATATTCAGTCAGGTGATGTCTGCTGGGCTTCGTAGCATCACAATCCTCCTCAAACCTGGAGAGAGGAGAGATAACATGCATGAAGGATGCTGTAGGATCTATGTGACAATTATTATATACCAAAATATTCTCTCAACCACTCAACCTATACCTGAAATTGTAAAGTATATTTACATAGGAAATTAAAGCTGGTGAAAATGAGTGAAGAACCCAACCCACACATATGAAATGAAAGGAAAATGACAACATTTCGGTCTGTTGTGGAGAAAGACCGAAACGTCGTCACTTTAATTTTCATATGTGTTGGTTGAGATATTTCTTGTTGGTTGAGATATTTCTTTGACAAATGTTTCAAGTTATTTACTACAGATTTTATTAAGAAACATTGCTTATTAAATGTCAAAACTTTGCCAGGTGTCAAGTTGCACAATGGAGCAAGGAAAAGGATGAATATATATATATATATATATATATATATATATATATATATATATATATATATATATATATATATATATATATGGGTTCGTGGCATATCCTTGGCAAACTTATTCAATAAATCAGTAGAGACGTGTATTGTACTAATATATTGGAAGTTTCACAAGAAGGTCAGTTAGATGTCCATCAGTTATGGTTTAATTGTTTGAAACAAGAATAGTAAATGTAATTTAAACTCAGATTTAATGCAGAATAATGAAAGATTTGAAACATTGCGAGACTGAAAGATAATCAAGAGTGGTATTGAAAGGTAATAAAAAAATCATTGGTAGATGGTTATATATAATACTAGCGGCGTTGCTCGGGTGACGGGGGTTATCTTGAGATGATTTCGGGGCTTTAGTGTCCCCGCGGCCCGGTCCTCGACCAGGCCTCCACCCCCAGAAAGCAGCCCGTGACAGCTGACTAACACCCAGATACCTATTTTACTGCTAGGTAACAGGGACATAGAGTGAAAGAAACTCTGCCCATTGTTTCTCTCCGGCGTCCGGGATCGAACCCGGAACCACAGGATTACAAGCCCAGCTTGCTGTCCGCTCGGCCGACCGGCTCCCCAAGGGGCCCACTTGTTCACGATTCACTCTCTTCATTAATGCATCACAATACCATCATCCTTGGCACTATCTTCGCTACACATGATCCTTTTCGCTGTATCCTTCTACACTTCACACGGCACTTCAATGCTGGCACCATCTTCACTACTGTACTCACTTTCTTCACTGTAACTACTCTTTTTTAACTACAGACAACTATCACTGTAACCATCTTAACAGCAAACTGTCTTTATCGGTGTAACCATCAATACTACTCAAGATCATCACTGCAACCACCTTCACTACACACTATCTGATATTTTGCGATTTTAGAATTTAATAACAAAAGTAGACATGGAATCGACCCTGACCTGTCTATGACTGTCCCCTAAAACCCACCTGTCACCCTGCAAAGTTTGATAAGGGTGACGCCCCAAGCATCTAGCATCCAACTTTGGACTAACAGAAACGTACAAACATTCCAGAAGTTTAAATAAAGCTGGAACTCCAAACAATTGCTTCGACGATTCGTCCTTTCCAGAAAGGACTTTTAATCAAATAAATCTACTCAATTTCATATATTATTAAGAAAAGTTAAATTTAAGAGAGATAATGAAGTAGACACAGAACCATACAGGTAAGGACACCTATCTCATCAGAAAATATATAGCAGGCAGTTGGAAGATATTATAATAGGTCTTAATGGTGCTTACCTTGTCAACTTAAGGAAAGGATAAGATATATTTCCTGTATATATCTGAATGGAAGTTAATTACACGCGATACTAATATAAATCTTCGGATCAATTGTAAAAAATATTCCACACACACACTGTCAGCTTCGTCCTTCTCTGAGTACAAACAATACAAATTTTGGAAGACACTGACACGATCTTCAGCTGCATTAATACATGAGAAAATCGTAAGACACTTCACTAAGACAGACGTTGTTGACGAACAGACAATGACAAAGTACGTTTCCAAGTGTATAACTGTTACGGTTCACCGTCCGAGCGCTGGGCAGTAGCAGTGGGTAACCTCAATGCCCTCCACATACTGAGCCTCTGCAGGTCTGGGGGAACATGAGCTAGCTGCTCTAAATGAAATCATGAGACTGTGGGCGGAGCAAGAGCCTTCGTCCCCACTTGAATCTTAAATGGCCCCCTGACCCCCTTACTCAACTTAGTGAACCGACTCCTACACGACAGCGAATTAAATGAGTGAATCACGAGAAGGAAGAACCGTAGAATGGACCCGGATATAATAATGTGTTATTTTATCCAGACAAGTAGTAATAAACGAGTGTGTGTTCTGGAAATGCCAGTAGAACAGAAGTCAGCAAAATAAGCTTGAATACTATTTTTTTTAAGGAACTAATCACGTAAGTCAAATTTCAGTTAAAAGAATAAAAACTAATTAAATACGCAACAAATAAGAGATTTAAAGAGAGAGAGAGAGAGAGAGAGAGAGAGAGAGAGAGAGAGAGAGAGAGAGAGAGAGAGAGAGAGAGAGTGAGAGTGAGAGAGATTTAAAGCGAGTAAGAGATTAAAAGAGACATTTCAATCTTTTTGCTTGCACTAAAGTAGAAAAATATATAAATAAAGCTTTTTCTTCAAGCTTTATCATATCTATATGAGCGTCATCATCATCATCCTCACTGTCGTCACTCTAATATTACTCATATTCCTCACTTTACCCAACTTCCTCATATTATTTACTCACCTCATTCCTCGAGACTAAAAAAAAATTGCAATGCACAGAAAAAGGTAAACAAAAATAATAAAACAAATTCACATTATAACCTTTATTCATCCTGTCATTATACGTGGCAAATATACAATGAGTCAGACGAGATAAATGGCCTTGATGCTTGGCCGACTTTTGTCGACTACAAAGTGACCCACTTGCTATAATTACAAGGCAACGAGACTACATTCTTTAAGAATGCTAAGCAACGTTAACTAAGAACCAAAAAAAAAGTCCTTTTTTGGCCAGGTGTTGGACTTGAAGACTGTTATCCTTGAGGGTTATAGAGGCCAACGCTTGACAGCTAACCTGTCAGTGTATTTATTAATCTTGAGCATGGTTCAGTATTTAAATATACTTTTGTTGTTGTTTTAGATTCAGCTACTCAGAACAACAAGTTCCAAGTAGCACGGGCTATGGTGAGCCCGTGATTAAATATCGTCTGGGTATATATATATATATATATATATATATATATATATATATATATATATATATATATATATATATATAATATATATATATATATATATATGTCAGACCACGGAGGAATACAATGTCAGACCACGGAGGAAAAATGAAACAGGAAATTTCCTTAAGTACTTTCGTATATTAAATACATCTTCAGAAGGTGTATTGACCTTCTGAAGATGTATTTAATATACGAAAGTACTTAAGGAAATTTCCTGTTTCATTTTTCCTCCGTGGTCTGACATTGTCACATTCTTAATCACGTGTTTATTTTCGTGATATACACACATATATATATATATATATATATATATATATATATATATATATATATATATATATATATATATATATACACAATGAGAGGTGTACCTCACCCCTCTGTGTATATATACACTGTGAGGTCCATCATAGCAAAATCTTTTGTATAATTATAATTTAAAACACGTCAGTTTATGGGACAAGAAAATATACTAACAGTGTATATTTATACAGTAACTACTCCAATTGTCTAGGAGCAGTAACTGTATAAATCCTGTGATTATGCTGTGTAAATCGTATAATAAATTCCTATGATTATAAAAAAGGCTTCAGTAGGGTAGTAGACATTTACATAATTAAATAAATCACCTTTGTTATCATAATAAATCATTGTATCTGTGCATGTAAATTTTTCTTTTAAATTCAATGTACAACAATTCATCTGAACAGTTAAATAATTGAATCGTTGTGGATGATTCTCCACAAGATGCCTGAGTTGAATACATGATCATTCTACTCCAACTGTTCATTCAATAGTTCTTATAATTATGTTCTTTGGGGAGAGCTCAATTAACTTTCCTTTATCCTTGTATTCTAGTGCAACAGCTAGCGAATCATGAATAAAATAATTGAATTGAATTCAAACGACAGACACACAAGCAGTTGGCAAATCAGCTAGAAGAATATTTTCCCATCATTCCAGTCCTACTGAATGTTATAATTACTTATCGTTTCCGAAGCAAGAAACATTCCTGCTTACCTCCGGACGCGTTGAATTAATCTGAATTTCCAATATCATTTAGGAATGATCTTAATCATTTATTGGATAAGAAATAACCTAATGTGGCATTTCTACGAGGTCCTTGATAGAAGGCCTTGAATCGTACGTTTATGCTTAGTTAGTCATCATCTACAGCCAGGCTTTAAGGCTATGGAAATAGCTCCTCCAACATCTTAGAAGATAAACAGTTCCAATACCCAGTATGCCTTCATTACACTGTGGAATAACTTACGATGTCCATTCCACCATTGATTCTGGGCGCTAGTGTGAGCCAGTGTGGTTAATACATAGCTTAACTAAACCTTGTTTAAGAGGCGTAGAGGTTTAGGATCGTCAGTACTCTTAGGGTGAGAATTTGTTATTAAATTTTAATAATATCAAATACCAAACATCCGAGTGAGGCAACTGCATAGAATTTAGAATTTTGTTTTTACTTGTAAGCTAACTGTAGTAGAGGTTTAAATATGGAACAACTGAGTTCAAAGCCAAAACTTCATTGAAAAAAATCGTGTGTAATTTAATCCGTATAAAAAGATGTTTGTTCAAGGGTGGACCTGATGCGTAGGGCTAGTCTAATTAAACTTCACAATGTGACGAATGAGATTTTGGGAATGGTCAAAGGGGGTGATTGACCACCACACTAATTGGTCGTCTAGACGATCAATTGGCGCGATGGTCACGGTACCATGTACGTTTAGGGGGGGTGGGGATATATATATATATATATATATATATATATATATATATATATATATATATATATATATATATATATATATATATATATATATATAACTGAAAACTCACACCCCAGAAGTGACTCGAACCCATACTCCCAGGAGCAGCGCAACTGGTATGTACAAGACGCCTTAATCCACTTGACCATCACGACCGGATAAAATGAGGTGATAGCCGAGGCTATTTGAACCACCCCACCGCCGGCACTCGGATAGTAATCTTGGGCATAGCATTTTACCAAATCACCTCATTCATTGGGGCACACGTGAGGAACACAAATGTGAACAAGCCTGAATGGTCCCCAGGACAATATGCAACTGAAAACTCACACCCCAGAAGTGACTCGAACCCATACTCATACCAGTTGCGCTGCTCCTGGGAGTATGGGTTCGAGTCACTTCTGGGGTGTGAGTTTTCAGTTATATATATATATATATATATATATATATATATATATATATATATATATATATATATATATATATATATATAAATATATATATATATATATATAATATATATATATATATATATATATATATATATATATATATATATATAAATATATATATATATATAATATATATATATATATATAATATATATATATATATATATATATATATATATATATATATATATATATATATATATATATATATAAATATATATATATATATATAATATATATATATATATATATATATATATATATATATATATATATATATATAATATATATATATATATAAAGCCTCTGGTGCAATTGTAGGGACCCATTGCCTCGAAGAAGAAAATAATGAGTATTCAGAAAATCCCTTATATAACACGTACCATATTTTTTTAATAAATTTGTACAGTTAGAGCTGAAACAGGACTTCCTGTGTGTGTGTGGAATGCAGCCGGACAACAAACCTATTGGTGGATGCAGAACCTGGCTGTGGCTGGCCCCATCTGAGTAGCCTCACGTCCATAAGAGGCTATTCTGGGTGCTTGAACTGAGACTCGTATAGCGGATCTTCTTTCAGGTCCTCGGACTGTAAGTTTAATACAACTTATTATCACATCTGAGTACGTAGGATGCTGAGGGTGTGTAAATCAGTGTAATTTTATTGTTGGGTTACTTTATATTAGTGTTCCTTCATATGGTATTTTTCCATTATTATAATATTGTGATGTAAGCTGTGATGCCTCGCAGCTCAAAGGTAAACTTTTATACAAAATCTCATGTTAAATTTATAAGTAATTTGATTGTTATTCATGTCAACAATTAAGTTTGATTTAGACACCTACTAAGTGATCTATTATTGATTTCTGTGAGTTGATGCTAATAAAGTTTCGAAAATCTAATATTTTCAAGCAATGTGTTGAAATAGATACATAAATATATATTAAATGTTTATTAGATAGATAGATAGAGCATATGCTACGGTAATTTTGACGTTTTGATAAACTAATATTACACCTTAATGAAGACACGTTGCAGGGAGTTAGAATCTTGTTTAGGTCATTAGATAGATGGGGGATGACCCCGGATAATGCAACTCATCCTCCCATTTAGACAGCACCTACTGTGACGATCGTCAATAGTCAGAATTCGTACGTTCTTAGCTTTTAAACAGTAGTATACTGACTAGTAAGGAATTATTTTTAAATATATGAAGCTTAAACATAAATTTAAATATTCCTAGGCCTAGTATAGTACATATATGTACTATATTAGGCCTCAGTTATCGTGTTTTAGGCCTAGTGAGGTTAGGGTAATTTAGTTTGTCAAAGCAACATAAGTAAAAATATTGACCAGGCCACACACTAGAAGGTGAAGGGACGACGACGTTTCGGTCCGTCCTGGACCATTCCCAAGTCACACAATCGACTTGAGAATGGTCCAGGACGGACCGAAACGTCGTCGTCCCTTCACCTTCTAGTGTGTGGTCTGCTCAACATGCTTCAGCCACGTTATTGTGACTCATCGCCTGCATAAGTAAGAATAATTTTCCAGTTTGTCCACCTCAATAGTCTAGATTTCTGCTTTCTAATTTCGTT